AGGAAAGAGATATGACAGCATTAATAAGCTTGAATGCCAAGGGAACTCAGAATCATTGTACTATGGTCCAGTATAAAATAGAACGATTGCTGTTTATATAATAAAGAACAAGATCACAGAACTAATCATTTTCAGCTGATTTTTGCATAATTAGGAAGAACTTAGTAGGTCTTATTGTTTATCGTTTATGAGTCATTAAGTGCATTGTGTTGGATACAAAAGTCAGCAAATACTCGGAGTATTTCTTGAGTTTGATGAGTTTGGAAGATTTACGCTTGGTTGATTGCTGAACTTTGGTGTTTGCTTTTAAGAGAATTATGGAAGGCTGTTATCATGAATTTGCTCAACACATAATATTGTTTCAAAAAAAACATTTATTTTCATTAGTCTTTTGAATTCATTGACGGTAGCGTGATATCCTCGAGAGCCTAACTGGAATAACGTAGCCATTGCGTTTCTCAAAAGTAAAATTTTAGGTCTTGCTTGCTTGCTTGGTTGGCTGAGTTTTGGAGTTAGAAATTCAAAATCCGCGCGCTCTATAAATTGGATTGCTAAACAAAAGACCTGTCCAAACTTGTCTAACAATGCTCTCCCCGTCGTTTTATAGTAATGATTTAATAARCAATAGTCTGCTCGTCATTTTATGGTAGCGATTTAATAAGCAATAGTCTGCTCGTCATTTTATGGTAACGATTTAATAAACAATGGAGGTGCCCATCACTGGCCCACCATTCCCGAAACAAAGACTTGTTCATACCGGTCAACAATAGTCTTATGACGTCAATTGGTCGTCATGGTAACCCGAAACAATACCTACCCGTCGTTTTATGCTAATATTTGATGAATAATTAAGGTTCCCCGTCCTTCCCCGTCCTTCCCCGTCCTTCCCCGTCCTTCCCCGTCCCCTTCCCCGTCCAAAAAAGGGCTCGTGCTGCCCCTACCCTACTACTGTCAACGTTTAAGACTTGCTAGACGAAAATGGTTCTCTTCTGCCTTTCTTGAAACTCTCTCAGGAATTCCAGCTTCCAGAAAGCGAATCTTTCCTTTTTTTCTTCGGTGTTTCTTCTGTTCTCAAAAAAACTCAAAAATTTAACGATTACTCTCTCGAAAGCCTGTTATGATAGTTTCAAGGAACAATTCGTGAAGTCAAAAAGACCTGGTAAACACGCCTACAATAAACTTATTGAGCAAAAAATATCAATACMATATAAAAGTCAAAATAAATGGAGCAGGGATTGTCCCTCTCTTGATGCCTATAATTGGGAAAAGGCACTCAATCCTACTCCATTCCAGGGCCGCACAAGCTTGAAAATCATTAATTTTCAGTTAAAATTCCTACATAGAAGAATTGCAGCTAAGAGTTATATATACGTATATATATATATATATATATATATATATATATATCTAAC